ACTTGACCTCAAAATGTAAAAACGCTTCATTTTCCTTTAAATTGCATGTTAAATGTAGTATAACCCATGTTTTCATCATTCCGCCATTTCAAAAAATCATTAAAAATATCATTCGACGGTCAATTTCCTTGTTCAACGGTCAGAATAAAGATAATTTTATAGAGATTTAGTAGATACTTAAATTAGCGTGCACTTTTTTGAGACGTGATGCACTAATGAGTTTTAGTGGGCGAACGGCCGAAAAATTATCTTCCGTTCTCATAAATGGGAACGCCCGTTCCCATATTTGGGAACTCCGTTCCCAAAAATGGGAACGTTCCTATATTTGGGTACTCATGACCATAGTTCCACCTACTGAGATGTTGAAATAAACGGTGTGAAAAAAAAACGTTACACGAAATTCACGACACGAAAAAAAGAGCCGACCACGTGACGCCGCCGCCTCCGCCGTGCCGCAGCTGGGACTCGGGACGGCCGGACCCAGAGGTCGGCCGCCGCCCATCCAAACATTCCTACTAGCGGCGCGTGCTGCTGCACCGGCGGGCTCTGCCGCCCCTCAGTGATACATCTCCGTATAAAACATGGGCGAGAACCGTGCAGAAACCCCCTCTTTGGGAACCTTGTTTGTATCGGTTTGAGTAGTTGTTAAACGCTTTTGACTTTTTTAAATGCCTGATCCTTACGTAATGTATCGTTGTAAACTAAAAGGTCCTAGGATGTTACATTCCGGCATGAATGAGCGTTCGCAAGATCTTTGCAAGTCTGCGGCCCCGATTGAGTCTTCACGTGGTAATGGCTCACGGGAACCGTTCCACCAATGAAGCAAGCAGAAACAGATTTGTGCAAATAGGTATCATGACCTCTGGAGAATAGGGTGAGATGGATGACAGTGTCAACAAAGCAAAACAATGCAATGCTTGAGCAATAAGCATTTGCAAGCAAAGTCGTCTAACATGACAAACGAAAGGCTCGCAAAATACTCATTGTTCAGTCTTTCGAATATCTTCCATATCTGTCTGCCAAACCCAACGACAACCAATTTCAATAAAGCCTTGTGTGGAATGTAAGGCACATAGGCATGCAAGACGGCGTGCCTAGGTATCGTAGAAACGAGTTGCCATGGCATCATGGGGATGTTGCTGTTGTAGACGCGGTGAGATTTCTGATCATTCGACAAACGTGGAGCTCCAAATTCGCATTGCTCTTGGTGAGGAATTAGTTCGTCTTGTGTACCGGAAAACGTCAGGTAAAGCAATAAATGAACGGTGGGAGCAGGAGCAGTGTCATTTTAATGACTTACATGTCAGTTAAGAAAGTATCAAGTTTAGCTCCATGAGTATTGCGTTTAAATGATATATTCTTATGCTTTATAGCATTTTGTATTCGAATTGTGTATTTCTTTCCTGGGAGTCTTGAGGTTCATAAAGTCTAGCAGACAATGAGGTATTTCGTAAATGCCTAGCATGAGGCGTCATAGGGGAAGGTGGGGTAAGACGGACCAGCTAAGGTTTGAGGCCGCATATCTTGCTACACTGCTCTCGTAATTCATATTATTTATAGTCTTCGGAATGCTCAATCCTTCCTCTGTTGATATGTGTAAAGACTAAAGTTCAACTTAAAGGAAAAGGGCCACCTTTAACATGGGGATTGAAACTGAGATAGCCATCTTGTAGCCCGTGTCCGAAAACCTGCCTGTCTACCTCCTTACGGCCGATTTCGGCCTCCATTCGTAGTTATCGGCAATTTTAAAAGAAAATACGCCAGGAATGCGTCCTTATCCCAGGAATGCGTTCTTATCCGACAATACAGCCACCCGCGGCGAGGCTTTGGTTTTTTACCAATCAGCTCCAACCAGCTCAGCTTTAACCAATCAGCTTATCTGACACAATCCGACGAGTCTGTCTTCTGAACGCTGATTGGCTTGAGTGTGACGTCATCGCTATGCCATCATACAGTAGGTGCCGTAGAGAGTATCAACATAGTACCAATATGTTAAATAGTTTTAAATACTTTTTCGCGAATTGTGCACTTCTGGCACCAGTTTTAAAAAGAAAATGAAAAATAATAATGTCAAAATGAAAAACAACGATATCTTCATATTTCACGAAGGTGGCCCTTTTCCTTTAAAGACATCTAGGTGGTGGATGCTCTTAAAGAGGGACATGTCAAAAACTCAGACAATAAAAAACGTGGGGTAAGACGGACCACCCAGCAGTGCCTGCTATTCGTTCATGTGTGTTACACTTCTGAGCCATCTTGCACCAAAATTCTCTTGCACCAATGCTTGGATTATTTTGCATCGTATACCCAGTCCAAGTCTCAAATGTAACAATTTGCGTGCAAAATTTAGCAAGCACATGTAGGATTATGTATTGGGCTATTGCAAATAAATTTACCACCGTTAGATTAGCTTATTCTGAAACCGGTTTTTCGATTTTACCTAGCTAGGTAGTTTGGTGCAAGAGGCCTCTGCTCTGTACTCTTGTAAGAAAAAGTAACCAGAATGGTAAAATAACAAAATGAGCCTTTATTCTTTACTCATGTGTGATGGAAGTGCAGCTAAAAGCTGGGAACATGTGTGTTGATTGTCGTTTGGCATGAATACATGCTAACTGAGCACTTGCATGCATGACTCACATGCAAAAAAAAGACTCCTTCCTGAAAATTAGCTTACTTAAACTTGTGTCAATGTTTTGGAAAAGAACTTTCCATATGCAGGGTACAATGGACCACCACAGGGTAAGATGGACCACAGTGGTCCGTCTTGCCCCAAATCTAAATTCTGTCATTATCATAACGTATATGTCAAATAGCCCAACATTGCGAAACCTTACCTTTCCTAAAGTGTGACTATAACTAAGTTTATAACTTTGTTCTTCACAGTAAAGTGCAAAATAGAAACTAATCATGCAAGAAAGGCGCCGTAATTGAATCACCCGTAGACCTCTTATATTAGATCTGTTTGACGAAAAACAACATTTTTCTCAATAACTCAAAAGCTGTGCATCCTAGCAGCATGAGCTCAATGTGGCCATTGTTACGAAGGAAAACAAATATAGTGAGTGTATAAAGCAGTAGATACCAGCAGCGGTTCAGCCGGGAGGGCTGGTGGTCCGTCTTGCCCCGCTGGGCCGTCTTACCCCACCTTCCCCTACTTGCTCGGGGTGCCTAAGACGGTTCTCCCCTCATACCTCCTAGGCATATAGTAAAATTGATGTATACGTTGTAATGTACACCATCCACATGGGAAGTTGCGCTAATGAACAGTTAACAATGAATTTGTTAAATGGATCGGATCTTCAAACTTTTAACCGATTGGGAGAGTTTTTTTTTTTTTGCAGCCAGGGTTCGCTAGTAGAACACCGAAAAGAGTGTAAAATCTGAAGCTGCTGGGAGAACATCAGGAGGTGCGAGTGCTGTGTAGCCGTGTACCGTGTAACCACGAGGGAGTTACTGGGAGGTCACACAGCGGAGACTGGGAGGTCGCCGCGGGTCAGTTCACTACGCTCGGCTCCGGCCGTCAGTCGGCCGCGTGCCTGTGGCACCTGTCGCGGGACTCATACCGAGAGGCGAGCCAGCTCAGCCGCTGCCGGCCGGTAGTTGGGTGACAGGTGCCTTCAGAGCTCGGCCGAATGAGCCGGTCGTCGGGCGGGACGCTGTGTAGATCGGCGTTTCCCCGTCAACGGGAGGCTGCCAGATCGCGATGGAAAGCTACAGCAGCGCGCTGCGCGCATGGAGATTACCATCACCGCCGCAGATAGCCTGGTAACAAATACCCATGCTGACAGACAAGCCACAAGCTTAATTGATGTGGCTGCGGTACCCAACAAAAAAGTAAATATTCGGCATATGGAAAACTGAGGCATGTGAACTCATATTACGCAAAAACGTTGCGCTGGTATTGAACGATGACGGAAGCCAATCAGAGTAAATGTGCACCAGTTATGCTTTGTGCTGTAATTCCATTTATGCTGTAAGTATGATAGAACAAGCCGTACATATTCGTAAACCAGCAATACAGTGGTACACACCAATACAGTGGTACGGTATCCCAAGCTGCGAGAGATTTCACCGATGCTTTGTGTTACCACCAATAATAGTTTTGAGGGAAATGTTTCGCAGGCGTGCCTCTGCTGCACAGCTCCTTTTATGACATTTTCTGCGTTTATACAGCTTCATTTGATTTTCGGTGTTTCATTAATTAATACGATCAAGTAGAAAGGATAACAGAATTAACAAAGCCAGAAACGGCGGGGATGGCGATTCCGTATTTCGATTTCAGGCTGTTTGAGACCTCCTCTTTGTTTCCACTTACTTTCATCGGCGCTACAGGAAGCGATACCTTACTGCTGTGCAACTCTATTTTGAACATACTCGCTCCTTTTTATTCATTTCCGAGCTTATGTGGCTTGCCACTACGTCTCAAATACCGCTTTGTTGCTGGTTCTGGATACCTACTGGCATAGATAACATGATTCATGTTATCTACTATGCTACAGGCGATGCGCATCCGGTGCTACTAAGACGCATCATCGGTCTAGTCTGGAACAGGAATTAGCATACGGGAAGTTCGTCTTTGCCTTTTCCGAACACTCATTATTATGGACATCGGGCTCATCTTGTTGCAGACATCGATTCTCTAGGGGCATCTGATCCGAAACTTTTCAGGCTACCGAAGCCTTTGGCCTTTGGCTCTAGCTGACGGCCAGAACCTGTTTTCCCAGCATTGACTTCCAGCGGTTGCACTCAGTTGCGAAACTTTCGGTTTTGAGCACCAAGGAATGCGTACTTGTCCTGGGAAGCAAACTGGTTTAGGTCAGACGATGGCGATCGGGCTAGTCTTCCTTTGGCTATGTCGCGTTGCATCTAACGTTACTGTCACTTCCGTGCAGTAGCAAGCTACACATAACCCCAGTGATGAGTGACCAGCAGCCCGAGGCCGGCGGTCCGGGCGCCGGTGTGCCGTGTCGCTCGACTGACGACCGTCTCCGTGTCGACAGGGGACAAGATCGCGCACTGGCAGGGCGGCGCAGATGTGGACCAGGGCCTGGCCGCCGACTTCGACGACTCCCTTTCCGGCCTGGGCGTCAACCTGTCGTCCACCACGTACAACATGAGGTGGGTCAGCCGGTAGCAGCTGGTGCGCCCTGTCCCATCAAATCATCATCATGAGTAAGGCGGTAACGTGTCCGAGCGGCGGCCTTGCGATCCGTTTGAAGCGGCCGCTGGGGTAAGCTGTGGTGGTTGTTGATGAAGCTCCTTCCTTTCAGCCGTAAGCTCCTGACGGGGATTATTGATGTGTTGGGAGTGGAAGAGTGAGCCACACTGACACTACAGAATGAACAGTTTTGGGGATATTACAGTCGCACTTGCCGCTCCACCTTATGTCGATTGACGCCGGAGACACTAGTATCGATGCTGGCTGTGCCGGTCCCTGTTGGCACGATGGGACAGGGACGGGGCTGAGTGCCAGGTCGGGGTCCCGCAGCGAGTCGCCGGAGGCCGCGCCGCCGTCGGACGGACTGCCGGCCACCCGTGTCTCGGCTGCGTAAATGTGTGATTGGATATCCGCCGCGGCCTGACTCCGGCTCGGACCACCGTGAGGGGCGACCTGGGGCAGCGGGCAATAGAGATGACGCACGCTTGTCATCCGGCCGCCCCTCCCCATCCAGCCCCCTTCCCCCCACCGCCCGCACCGCTGTTGTATTGCCGGTAGAAATTCTGCACGAAGAAACTTCCCCGGGGACCCGTCAGCATAAAAAGCATTTGTGATCAAAGCTGGATATGTAGGAATGCGCGGTGGGTAAGTAAATGCACAAATTTTCTAGCAAAACACTAATGCACTGGTATTCCGTGCGGAATGAGACATTCCGTCAATCAATTAAAGGTGATGTTAAGGTGATGCAGAGACGATTTGTTATGGGGACAGAGTACGCGGACAATATCCGGCTCGGTTTATAGTAAACAGTATTAACCCGCGCGGGGCTGGGGTCTCCAGCCGAACGCGCGGGGCTGGGGGGGGGGGGTAAATTTTACCCCCCCCCTGTTATCTCCCGAACTAATGGTCCGATTTGGAAAATTCAAACGCCAATCGAAAGCTCTCATCACGAACTACTAAAAACATGTACTTAATTTAAAGTTTGAGGTCAAGGTCAAGGTCAGGTCAAGGGTACAAATTGCAAGTTTCTACAGTATCGGCCTTGCACCAGAGTTGCCGAAGAATGGAGTCATGGACTGAGACTGATCGCCCAAAACGTGTTCTTAGGCTACCAAGACAATATTAGTTGCATACAATATCATTCAGAGGTCAAGGTCAAGGTCAGGTCAGGTCAGGTCAGGTCACCAAAAAACAAAATATAGAAAAGGGCATGTGCGACACATGTTTTATGGGTCATTTTACTCATAGAATTCAATAGGCACACTCAATAAGTGATATGGACCACCTCTGGATGAATTACAGGTCGAGGTCAGGTCAAGGTCAGGTCAAGTGAGGTCAAATTTTGAAGTTGGTTGTTAAGGCCTAAAAAGGTGTCTATCTGATGCAGTTTTTCACGGCGAATCGAATGGTGCTATTTTTGTTTCCGTACGAGTTCTAGAACTTCTAAAAAAGTCATTTTTCAAAATATTTGTGTGTCGTGACGTCATAAAATTTTGAATAACTCCCACATTTTTGAACCGATTCTTCTAAAATTTGGTATGTAGGTGCACATAGACCACTTCTCTGACATATATTCCGGTTTTTTCGATAGACTCAAAATTTTGGATTTTATAATGATTTTCCCAAAAAAATCAGTTTTTTGAAAAAATTTAGGCCAAAATCCAAAATTTTCAAAAAACCGAGATAGCCATTTGATAGACAAAGTAAAATTACGTATAACCTTTTTTGTTACGTCTTGATTCCTTTAAAAATGAAGATGTTAGCGGCGTTTGAACTTTTGCCGTTTTTGAGGCGAAAATGGCGAACATGACGTCACTAAAACGTCAATTTCTCAAAAAATTTCCGACGGATTTCGCTCAAATTTTCAGGGAAGGTGTCAAATTGATGTAAGAAAAGGTACTGAAAGTTTGGCGGCGCTGCGCGCCGCCGTTTTTGAGATATCGCAAAAATTCGCGAGGGGGGGTAAAATTTACCCCCCCCCCAGCCCCGCGCGGGTTAAAGCCGGCGCCCCTCGGTGCTCTAATAGTGCAGTAGGAGCTCTGTTGGGTGTGTTTACGTGCAGTGTGCTTGCTGTGTGACTTGTGCCACGTCTATGTGCCGTGTACCACGTCTCTGTGCCGTTTATCGTTTTTATATACGTGTGCCACATCTGTGCGTGCTGTGTATCGTGTCACAGTGTGCGGTGTGCACTGCAAGCCCCAAAGCCCCAGTAAACAAACAAACAAACAAACAAACGGTGTGCACTGCAAGGTGGCGGCTCTGTGTGCCACGTCTGTGCGTAGATCTGTGCGTACCTGTGAGCAGTTTCTCCGAACTGTTGCCGACTCCTACCGGCTGGTGGCTGTATCCCCACTGACTGTCTGGTGTCCCTGTCCCCGTGTCTCCACTGACTGCCGGGTGTCCCTTTCCCCGTGTCTCCACTGACTGCCCGGTGTCGTGTCCCCGTGCTGTGCCCCCCTGACTGCCCGGTGCCGTGCCCCCGTGCCGTGCCCCCACTGACGGGCCGTTGCCCCTGTCTCCACTGACTGTCTGGTGCCCCTGTCCCCGTGCCCCCACTGACTGCCCGGTGTGGTGTCCCCGTGCTGTGCCCCCACTGACTGCCCGGTGTGGTGTCCCCGTGCCGTGCCCCCACTGACGGGCCGTTGCCCCTGTCTCCACTGACTGTCCGGTGCCCCTGTCCCCGTGCCGTGCCCCCACTGACGGGCCGTTGCCCCTGTCCCCGCTGACTGTCTGGTGTCCCTGTCCCCCGTGCCCCCACTGACGGGCCGTTGTCGTGTCCCCGCTGACGGCCCGGTGTCGTGTCCCCGTGCCGTGCCCCCACTGGCGGGCCGGTGTCGTGTCTCCACTGACTGCCCGGTGCCCCTGTCCCTGTGACCTGTGCCCCTACTGGCGGGCCGATGTCGTGTCCCCCCTGACTGCCTTCTGCGCCCGCGGCTGTTCCAGCGAGGCTCTGCTGGCGCTGCCCAACATATCAAACATGTCCACACTGCTCAAGAATGAGGCCGCTTCATTGCCATCCGATTCAAAGTCAGTGGCCTCACGGTTTCATATAACATCCGCCCTGTAATACGTGGATTAGCACATATGCTTATGTTCACTTTACTGTGCTATTCACTGTGATCTCGACTACTGCCTCTGGTTCACGGCATTGGAGTTGGATGGTAGGTCATAATTGGTGATGGTATTCTTTGCCTTCGTTCTCTTTCTTACTGAATTGATCGTTACAACAGTTTTATTGCGGTGGGCATTGTAGGCGCACTCTGTGTCATTCGCGGGCGGTGGACAGTGGGGTGGGGTTTGGGTGACTGTCTGCGTGTGTGCCGTTCGCAGAGTGGGGCCGGGCGGGACGGTGTCGGCTGACCGTGCGTGTGTGTCCGTGTGCGCTCGCTCAGCTCGCTGCACCAGAACATCGGCGAGACGCTGTCGCCGTCGCTGCTGACGGACGTCTCCAGCGCCGAGGACATCGCCGGCGGCGACGGCGCCTCGCCAGGCCGCCCAGCCGCCGCCGTGGTCGTCGCCGACTCCCAGAAGCGTCAGCATCACAGGTGAGACGTCGCACGTGCGCGCACTGCGAGCCATTGGCGGGCGCGTGCCCCAGACTGTCGGGGGCCCGCCTCCCCAGTCCCATCGCCCGTGTTTTGTGATCGGTACTTATGTTCCATTATGCATTCATGAATCTGTCAGATATGCATGACATCTTCACCTGAATGCTTTATTATTCTAGACATACATCGATAACCTGAGGTGCTCATCTTACGTTGAACCTTTTCAGCGTCATTTTGGCTCGACACAGTCTGAAAGTGCGCGTTGCGTTGTCTTTGTAGCCAACGCAGCGACATAAATGGGACGCCGACGCATATAAAATAATTCGTGTGATGTATGCGGTGGTGGACACAATGCTAGTACGACCGGACATGTGTCCGGTGTCACTGCTGCGTGGGGCCTGCAAAAGCCAGACCATTGATCCAACAGATTTATGCTAATAGTTCGGTAATATCAATTCCATTCAAATCGTAACGGCCTTAAGATAACGCAGTCGATGGTTAATTCGAGCACGGATTATCGGAAAGAACCGAAGGCATGCAATGCGTACTGTCACCAATGAGCAATATTTTATTTTTGTGACCGCTGATAGTTGACAGACTATTTTCATTTGGCCTTACCGCTCTTGTTTGATAGATGAGCCCTTTTTAAAACATGTACCGTAGTGTGTTAATAATACGGGACAGACCAGGCGGGACCAGGCCAGGCCAGGCGCGATCTGCAGCCGAGCTCGGCCTTGACTTCCGACCTCCGAATCCTTGGGCCGATCTGCGTCAGCCGCTCCCTGTCGCTCTTCAGCTGTGGGAGCCGAGTGCTAGTGAGGCGCTGCTGGTGTGGAGATTACCTGTGTTGAATGGAGTTTGGGTTACGCTCATTTTATAAAACACCTCGATGATCTGTCTGTCTCTCTCAATGGTTTGTCAGCCGGTAACAGCCGTTCGCCGCGCAGGTTTCAGTACGTCCTGAACGCGGCCACCTCGATCGCCACCAAGGTCAACGAAGAGACGCTGACCTACCTCAACCAGGGACAGAGCTACGAAATCCGCATCAAAAAGCTGGGTGACCTCACCTCCTGCAGCGACGCCATTTTTCGGGTGAGCGCTCGTCAGTGACTCCCTGGAAGTAAGTCCGTGACCTTAAGCTGACCTCATTCTGTCTCCAAGGAAGGGCCGGCTGTGGTGGTGGCCAGCTATAAATCCCGGTTGTTTTCCACATGGCTGGCGGTCTCGTATTTCGCCGCGAGTGGCACGCGCCGCTCGCCGTCCGGGTGTGGCGGAGACATCAACAGAGGGGCGAGCGGGCACCGGGTTCGCGCACCGGTCCGCCACGTGATGGGACGCCGTGCACCGGCCGTCAGGGCACACTCGGGCCCGCACTTATTACACCATAACGAGTCCACGGAATGTTTACACTATGTCTGACCGACCCGGAGCGACGCCCCAGCCACCGCTCCCCGCGGCAGCCCGGCCAGACCCTCACGGGGGAACACCGCCCACGTGTCCCGCTCCAGCGTGGTAGATGAAGTCAAATCCGAGCGGCTGTGACATAGCAATCCGAAGATTTATCGCGGTCTACCCTTTGACACGTCGTGAGAAATGCAATACAAATGATGAATACATCGGAGATTTATCAGAATTTCCACAGCTCACTTACTGTATTGCCTTTACTGGATATCGGTCCGTAATGTAAATCTGTCTGGCCTGCCCATTTCATGCAGATTTTCGTCAGATGCAAAACTCGGCGCTGGTGGATATCAGTTGTTCATCTGCAATCCGCCGTGATGCTGTCCACTGATCAATGTCAACGTTTTACCCGGCAGACAAAGTTGAAGCTGTGTTTCCATGAGCGGCGACTGCAATACATCGAGAAGGAGCAGCTGGACGCGTGGAGGACCTCTCGGCCCGGCGACCGGCTGCTCGAGGTCGACCTGCCCCTGTCCTACGGTGAGCCGGCGCCCTCCCTGCTCCTCAGGAGCTGACAGCGCAACACTGACCCGCCTGATCTGGGAATTTGTGGTACCGTGTCAGCCGTCTCTGCCTTTAATGCCAATATTGGCTCCTGTTAAAAGGTACAATGCAGCCTGTCCTGTTCTCTCCTTGGAGATATGGGACGAACACAGCGAGAGAACTGTCTCAGCCAGTCGTCCGGACGCCGCCAGCCCGCGTTTTCTGACGATCATCGCTGGGTCACTGAGTCTGGCCCCGGTCCATTCCCTGAGTTGACACGCGTCCTGCCCCGCCGCTCAGCACGGTGCGAGCGCACCGGTCCGCACTCGCGTCATACGAGCACGTGCGGTTCGTCTGCATGAGCGTCCCTGTAAGTTTATGTAGGCGCGTTTAGGAGCGGTACGTTAGTCATGTCCATGTAAATAAGCCACTGGAGAAATTCCACCTCGTGAAGGTAGTTTTCCGCTTGGCCGATGGTGTGCTGCAATATGTACACTTACAGGCTGCCAAAGAGGGGGCTTTGCCACATGGCTGCTCGTAAATTGGTGTTATGGTAATCTTAGGAAACATCATGACTAATGAACTACTATAGAACATCACTTTGACTAGGAGCCATGGATAAGATTCACTTACCCGTGCTTTTTTAGGCTCAAACATTGTCTTATTTGGGACCGGTATCCTAAGGATTTCCTCCAAGATCTTTTGTTGCTTAGAAAAGGGCTATCAGTTTCCGAGATGTGCAAATTTTTAAGAGCATGCTCTCAGAACCGACATATTCTGAACAATCTTTGGGGCGGTTGCACGCACACATGTGTCAGCGTGTGGTTGGCAGGGGGCGTCGGCCCCGGCAGCTGAGGGGGCTGCTCTGCTTGCTGACCGCGGTAGCAGTAACCGTACCGGCAGCTTGCCCAGACCAGCTAGCTGACGTACGATGTTCGTGATCCGAGACAGCTAGTGCAATGCTGCCTATAGCCAGAGTTCGGCAGCCGGTTGTTTGAATGCATACATATTGCATACTTTGGTACACCCCGCTGTGGTTTCAGTCATGCACTTTGCATTGAACCAAAACGGGTCTGAGTCGCGAGCCTGGGTGGCCGCGGGCTCTTACCGCGGGGCCGGACCCTCTGATCAGCAGTGGGTTAGCTGGTGATCGGGCAGGATGCCGCGGTCTCCAGCTCAATGCTACCAGTGGGCGACAGAGGCGGGCCGACGAACAGACCCTCGGTGGTCGCCCCGCGCCACCCGAGAGGCGCGCGATCCGGCTCCCCTACCCTGCAGTAGTATAGTGCACCGAAAGAGTGTACACGACAGATACGAAAGAGTTGAGACAATCGTCAGAATAGCAGGGCCACTCTGCTAGGTGACGGTCACTGGCCGGCCTAACAGCCTACCTGATACCTGTGTTAACCCTCGCCGGCACAGGCCATTTTGAGTCCTTCGACGGCACAAGGGGGGGGGGGGGGGGGTGGTACGACCCCCCCCCTCGCGTTTGGCCCCTGATCGAGCTAGAGCTTCGCGGAAAAAACGAGCGTGTTGCCCGTCACGAGACGAAGCCGATGATACCCAATTTTAAGGTCCTAGGTCATCGGGTGACCTTCCAGGTCAGGTCAATGACCCGAAAACCGGGAAAATCGGGACCTGTTAGAAAGTCGTAAAGTGTGGCTGCTATGTGGTTTTCCGGGGTGCTGATCACGAATATCGTGTTAGTTTTGATCAGAGATGATGTCTCTAAGCATTTAGACCAGGTCGGGTCAGGTCAGGTGACTCAGGTCAGGTCAACCGGTAGGGGTTGTGACTGGTATTCGTAATACATGTCAATCGCCTCTGACAGCTTCGTAACATGTTACGAAGGCACCAAAACTACTTCGTAAATGTTCAAATGGTTGCTAAATTCGAATTCAGCTCCAAAAACTAGCCTAGAAACATGTAAAACTCGAAAAAGTGAACCGAGGTCACCCAAGGTCACCAAAGGTCAATGACCTGACCTGACCCTCAGGTGACCTTGACACCCACCCTAATGCATGGGAGCAACATCAAATCACATGTTTGAACGTTTGAAACCACGAAAAGCTTGCAAACGCGCGGCTAATGCGAGCCGACATGCGCCGAACCGCGATTTCGGCCAAACATGGTCACAGAAAAGAGGTCACAGGTCAAAGGTCATTGGGGTCAGGGTCATGAAATTTTCAGGGTAGGTGTAAAATTGATCAATGCGAGGGTACTGAAAGTTTCGTCGCGATCGGCCGCTTTTTACGCGAGTTATTCGCGAAAAACCTTAGGGGGGTTGCATCAACCCCCCCCCCCTGTGCCGGCTAGGGTTAAGAATCCGTCCGTTCTTTGCGCCGGTAAAAACAGAACAGAAATATAATTGACCTCAGTGCTGTATTGGGGTGCAACAGCTTCGTCACCAACAGGTTGAGAGGTAGTCACCGTATCATTTAACGACCAGGCACGGTAATGATAAGGCACAAATCAAATACAGCTCATTGCTTTCTCACATCCAAGGGACAGCCCCTCTAAATTCGCCGTGAAACGTGCACAGTAACGACAGGCACGATTACATTATACTTGTATCAGGTAAAGGGTGCATTAATGATGCATCGTGAACGGTATCAAAGACACACGTATGATCTGTATCATATAATGCCCCGTCAGGATTTGGGTGCAAAGAGGGTTAGGCGTTAATTTTGTCCGAGTGAGGCTCAGGAAAGGACCGCCAAGTCCGTTTCCTATACTCGGCGGCCACAAGCGCTACAGCCAGGAGAGCCGTGCAGTGCCACTCCAGAGGCTAGCGCGCATTGAGACCGACCCGGTCCAGACGAATGCTGAGACACGAGTGGCTACGAGAGACACGGACAGACTGGAGGTCACCGCGGGTCACGTGACATTCGAGCGACCGCCAATTATACCGCGCGCCAGAGCACCGTGCCGGCCGCGCGCCCGCAAACATACTGTGCCGCACGGCCCACCGGCGCGCCGGCGGGCCGCGGCCGGGCGGCTACACACACGCGGCGAACAGTTGCGATATGAATAATGAACGCGAAATCATGGAACTTAACAACCTGAGACAGTCATCAGAGGCAGGGCCATTCTGCCAGGTGGCAGTCACTGACCGGCCGCGCATACCAACTTCACACGTTTTTGGATTGAACGGGGATGTGGTGCGTTAGTGGGCCAATCTCGATGTAGTGATAAATTGCCTTGTAAAATAAGTGAACTAGTTTTATTTTATGTCTGACTGGACGTGGCCGTGGCTGCACAGTGCACTGATTTGACATTTAATTTAAAAAAAATATATGGCAAATATGGGCGTAAATTTCAACCGCTCCATTCATGCGTAGTAGAAACGGTGTTTTCTCAATTTCGCATCCCTGCCGCACAAGGGTAAAGACGCATACCTAACCAACATGCGCCTTTGATAATTATGCGATATGATATGATATATGTTGGCATGTTCCTTTGCCTTTGTGCGGCAGATCCTGGTGCAATACATGGTGGCAGATCCTAGTCCAATACATGGTAGTTAGTTTTCGTGTTCAGGCGGACTCGGGATAGTTATTGATGCATCTATTTAGGACCTTGTTGCTGCAGAGCTCCGAGCTCTACGTCATCCGTTCCCTCTCAGCGCGTCAGAAGAGGCCGTGTTATTGCGACTGTATGCCACTCAGACGAGGAGTGGCGAGCCGAGCCAGTCCTTAGTCTCGGCCACAAACGGCACCGACAGCAGTGTCATTACCTACCCGCACCAAGTAGATCGTCTGCATTTCTGGAAAACCAATGGGTAATTCATTCCTCCGAAAATGTGCCTTCCAAATGATCTCAGATCAATCGAATTACCATATATCGCGTATCGTTTCATCGTCGTTGATCCAGAAGCTGTTATCTGGGGTCTGTGAACTCAGCTTGCATGTCCCAGCGTCTGAACTTCACGGTACTTCTCATTACACAGACATAAAGGGAAACTTCAATAACAATTCGTTTGACAACGGATGGTGTATTTTGCAAGGCATTTTTCCAAGCTTTAACGCGCGCCCTGCTGGGGGGGGGGGGGGTGTTTGAACACCATCGCCCCCCTTGTGGTTTTGCGCGAATATCTCAAAAACGGCGGCGCGGAGCGCCGCCGTTTTTCGTACACCTTATCATACATCAATTCTACACATGTTGTTAAAATTTCAGACCAAGGTCATTCAAGGTCAGGTCACCAGGTCACTTGAAGTGGCCTCACATCACAAAAAGTGTCAATGTCTGCCATAGCTACATCGAGTGACCGATCGCTTTGAAACTTTCAGCGATTGATAAGGGTAACAGTATCTATAAAATGTTTATCTCGGAATTTTGATATCGGTGACCTAAGGTCAGGTCAATTTTGCGACCTCTCCATTATAAGTCAATGGGAGAAAATTGAAATGCGCCTCTTTTGGACGAAAGACATTATAAACACTCCCAAACACCGAATTACAAATGGTTTAGACACACTGAACATGAGAATGGTGTCCGTGACCCCCTATTTATGCCCCTGAGGTCATCTCAGGTCACGAATGGTGTCCAACAGTTTTTCGCTAATAACTTTTGATAGAGGCATGCTAGAGCGGTGAAAACGCCTTAGATGTGCTCAGCTCCACGATACGGATCGACTGATATGCAACATGACCCTTTCCGGTCAGGTCATGACCTTGACCTGAGGTCAAATTTTCAAGTTGACCTTTCAAGGTCAACATATAGTTCATTCGATGCGTCTTGACGAGAGGAACACGATGCCGGTAAAAGTAAGCTCGTACAAGGCTTGGGTCAAAAGTTATTGCAGAAAAACTGTTTCAGAAAAAATCGGCTATTTTTGCAGTTTTTGCCCCCTGCAGGCAAAACCATTGACGTTAGGTCAAATCTGAGAGAATTACTCAGAAAGGGCGTTAATAGGCCTATCGAATGCGCTTTTCCGCGGCGCTGTAGCTTTATTGGTTCCCGAGTTATGCGTTGGCTTCCTGGAAATTGTCGACATTCGACCTGAAAATCGGCGAAATTTTGCCTTCAATGACCTCTGGTGACCTGACCTTTGACCTGACCAAAAAATTGACCGAAGTGATTTCGTCATTATTTTTGGCGCTCTTTCGAACGCCGCCTTCCGCGTATCGCTACGTGGCCCAGGAGCCGAGTTAGAAGGGGGGTGTTTAAACACCCCCCCTCCCCCCCCAGCAGGGCGTGGAAATCCAGGACCCCCAGCCGGGCGCGGGTTAATAAAGAGTCCATTGGGAATTCCTCAGGTGATTCCCCAGTCTCTACCCGTGTAAATACTTGGAGAGCTCCGACTACAATATTAAACAAGCCAGTTTTTACCTGTACTTGAACGGTGAACTATCTAAGGAAAAATGATTTTCGATGTGTATATCTGTATACTTCAGCTATTTTGTCAGCTCTGACTGATAATCTGTTTTGAAAACACAACACTGAGTACTTGCGGGGATTGACGCCCTCCGCCAATACTGAACACTGCAGTGGTGTGATCTAACCTCACTCGCCGCCGTCCGTTCCAGGCATTTTTGACGTGCGGCAGGATCGGAACCAGCTCAACTGCTGCGAGTTCCTCTGGAGCCCCAACAAGGACGTGGGTGTCTACGTCAAGGTGGGTGCCGCTGCCGCCGGTCCGCTCCGGTCCGCAGGTCGGGACGGAGTCAGCGCGGAGTGTTGACGGGCCAGACGAGGTTCCAGAGACGCGCCTCAGAAGGCAGCCGTAAAACCCGGCTCATTTGTGGATTACTGGGATTTAATTGGCGGTATACAGTGCATTCTTTGTAGTGTCTGCTGACTGTCACCATTTCTGCGTCATTGCTTACAGCTGACCAAACACTCGGGGCTCCGCCCCAGAGTTGAGTTAACGATGGCTGTCGGGCCGGCTGTCGCTCGTCAGCCTCTCAGCAAAGAGGACCGGACCCGGATTCTGCGCCACAAGCGGCGATCCCTGTTATTATCTGTGTCACGATTGCCAAGTTTTCCGTTTCATGATATCCGTTCCTGGTGCACGACTGTGGTTTTCCTCGCTTTGAGAGTCGAGTTGTCAGTCTGATGACCGTGCGTGTCTCTTGCCGGCCAGGTCCATTCTGTGAGTACAGAGTTCACGCCCAAGAAGCATGGTGGCGAGAAGGGCGTACCGTTCCGGATTCAGGCCGAGACCTACAGCGGCGCCGACTCTTTCGGCGCCCTGCTGCACTGCGCCGCCTCGCAGGTCAAAGTGTTCAAGGTACGCCCGTCGCACTGGTCGGCGACCGTCGGCTGTATCAGATGGCCGCGGGGGGGGATGAGGTTGCGGGGTGTTTGAGGCTCCCCGGGTGGCAGACGGACATGAGCTTCGAGCCGAGCGTCGATCAGCTGTGATCTCAATGGATCGACCTTCTCTCTGTATCCCGAGAAAAACTTATGTGGCGATGTGTATGTTATCGCTGTAGATCTCTCGACAATCTAGGAGAACTGGCTATATGATCCATTATTATCCCAGGTGAATGGTCGTGGGATCAGTTTCTCAAATCAATATGCACAACGGATATGCCAACTGGGAGAGCTGAGTTGGAAGGTAACGCATTCTGTTTTGCGATTAGCCTGTGACGTCTCACACTTATGAGGATGGTGTGCCGTGCGCGGTCCCTATTCTCGGCGGAGGTTGAGCAGGGTTATTGATTCACCAGATCGGCAGTGGGACATTCACATTCAGCATTGTGCTCTGACACCATACAGTTTGCGCCACATGGGGCCTCAAGATCGCTAGGAGCTCGCTGTTTCTCATTAGACCTCAATGGTAATGTAATTCACCTAGGAAGCAACTTCCCCGTAGGGAGTCCGTTTTGCCAGCCTTGGATGAAACGCAGAAGGCATGGAACTTCTGTAGAGCAATTTCAGATACTATATTTGGCGTATGCGGAATGCGGATTTAGTTGTGATATTGGCGTGACTCGTCACAGTGTCGACAAGGACGCTCCAGCAGTGCCGGCGTTTTCCTGTCCTTTCGGCTGGTTGCGTGTGGGATGGTAATCGAGTGCAATATGGGGAGTGAAACATAGCCGTCTTCTGGGACAACAAGTTCCCCGCAGCTGCTCGGGGCTTAAATTTGCAGACTCCTGAGTCCTGAAATCCACGCTTGGAATCCCTGTTTATTTTGTCCTGCTTTCAATAACGGTTTGTGGCTCGTTTATTGCATATTCCGAACAGTGACGCACGGAGGCGTAATTGAAAGGTTTGCTTTCGCCAATAGTAACTATTCGTTAGAATCGTGTTTTCCTATTAAAAAACGAATCTAAGTTTCCTGATAATATTGCAAAAGCAAACGGTGAAAAAGCTATTATATTTACGCACTTGCGTAGAGTTCTGACTCATAACTTTGTAGCATTTTATGTGTATTTGAGTGTTTGGGCCGTGCACTTGTGTACTTGATACAGCACCCAGTGCTTCACACGACTACAGTCGTAAGTGTCCTCATGTCAAAATGGGGCTACCTTTCTCAAAGGTATCAGGTACAAGTGTTGCCGATAAACACGAGGCTTTTTACCAAATTAAGGGCATGTTGACCTTGTTAGCGTTTTCAGAAAGAGTGGTTACAATAAATTGGTTTGTAATTGTACACTTAGCATTAATCTAAAACATTAATCCCTCAGCATTAATCTGTTTATAGGTTTATAGGCTTTAGATTTATCCCAGCCTGCCTAGGCTGGCAACCTAAATGTCAACAGAAAGCTCACGAGCCGACTCTCCGTTATTTGCTGTGAAGGTGCGTAGCGTGCAAAGTTTAGCTGGTGCACGGTTCTGACTACCGCACTCCATCCGCCTCTCCCCGGCAGCTCAAGGGCGCCGACCGCAAGCACAAACAGGACCGTGAGCGGTTCATGAAGCGGCCCGCCTCCGAGATGGGCAAGTACCAGCCGTCCTACGACTGCACGGTGCTGACGGAGATGCCTGTGGAGCTGGTGTACAGTCCGCAGCTGCCGCCCACCTCGGCCGGCCCGAGCAAGGCGCCGCCGCCGGCGCCGGCGCCGGCGGTGTCCTCCGCCCGGCTGCCCAACGTGTCGCCGCCGCCGCCGCCGGCCGTCTCTGTGGCCGCCGCCGTCACGCCCGCCGCCTGCGCGGAGGTCGAGTACAAGCAGCAGTGGTCCCAGCCCAGCTCCAGCCCCACCGACAGCATGAACGAGGACGAGGTGGGTGCGCCGTCGCAGACAGCAGAGTCCTGGCGGGTCTACAGGGTGTCCCATAAGTTCGTTCTCACCTAAATTTTACGTTTTTAGGCTCTCTTGCTTAAAGGCACGCTGAAATTGGTTCGTTACTGAGCTTACGTGGTTGCCATGGCTGGTAGAAATATGCTCCACAGTAACTAATTTCTGTAGACAAAATAGTTTTTGCTAGAGAGCCCGTTTCCTACACAGACGACTAACGCCGCAACATAGAGGTCTCCAATACGGGTACGTCTCGGTATTTAGTCAGCACGTGACCATTCGCGACGATTGAGGGTGATTGAGGCCTACCAGTCTGTAGACAATGTCCATCGCTAACTGGACGCACAGTCAGCAAGTGACACCGATGATTTGTCGGGAGTCAATCATTGCAAGTTTATCCTCTTTTTTTTGTCAGCTCTCAGGAGTGAGCCATGTGGCCAAAACTGTGTGGCGCCAAAGTGGCCATCAAAAAGGTCAAAGAGTTAGAAAGTTGGTAAGCAGACTTTTCAGGATGGATTACCAGCTGTCTAAAATTGTTCTTACGGGGTACATAACTCAAGGTGACTTAAGCTTTGCTTACCGGAGGGCTCAAAACAGTCAAAAACGTCTTAAAATGGCCAAACATGAGTTTCGCTATGCCTGAGGCTAAAAAACTAAAGGGCTGAGAACATCAACCACGTCATCTGGACTAACTAGTCCACGTTCGAGATGAAACACCCGTCCAAACCCGAAAACAACCCCATAAGGGCGAAGGAGGAGGCCTCCGTTTCGTCCCGTTATGTTCCTATGCGAAAGGCCAAGGTCACGGTATTGTGGGGTTATAGGCGTCCAGACGCTGACCAGGTTGCGATTGGTGTCCCAGAAACAGCTTTGGGAAGCATAATGCTTTTCCAAGAAAATCTAGGAAGAGTTTCAACCCTCAAGCTGAACTCGAACCGCGAGTATGAACACATTTATAGAGGAGAAAATGGCATCCGAAAGGTCGTAGGCTCATCTTCAGGCAAGACAGTGCATCAGTGCACAGGTCAAGCAAGGCTTAAAAACGGTGCAAGGAGACTGTGACAGGCGTTTGTGGCAAGACCACATGCCAGGCACCTCATCGGATCAAAATTTCATAAAAATTTGTTGGTTGTGCTGAAATTGAGGCTCGTCGAAGCGTAGTGCTGTTCCAGCCTCGAGGAGCTCACGGCGCATGTCAAGTCAGTCTGGATTAACTTTAAGCCTGCTATGCAGCCAAACATGCCGGTTGGCATGCCGCAGCATGTGTTCATGTGTTTGCCTATTAAATGGGGAGCACATTGAGGGGTCATAAATATATCAAAACGCAATGTACTCTGTTTCACATGCAAATTAAATGTGAGAACGAACTTATGGGACACCCTATACTGGTCTGTGTGGACTGACCTATGCATAATCAGTATGGGATCTGCTCCATGTGATAAGTTCAATGAAAGCGTTGATACGCATCGGCGGACATCATGCAAAGTTTTGGGAAACTTTATGTCCAGGTTTCATGCAAGCATGAAATCAATCAATTCAGGCTCGACTGCGAGGGATATCAAGTCGTTTCAATTGCTTTTTTTCAGAAACAGTCAGTATGCACGTCTACATATTTGGTAGCCGATGGTATGTGTGTGTGTGTGTGTGGGGGGGGAGTCTGTTGCCTAAATTTAACCTGATCTATTTCCGTAATGCTGTATCTGCAGTCTTGCACCCTCCGTTCACCCGCCGGTGTCTGACGTTGTGCGTGTCGCTGTTGTCCAGGGCCCCCAGAGGAGCGGCGCCGCCGGCACGGAGGTGCCCATGTCGGACGTGCTGTCGGCGCGCGCTACCGCCGAGCAGACGCACGCTTGGCTGCAGCGGCGCCGGTTCGGGCCGCACGCCACCGCTCTCTGCAACTTCACCGGCGCCGACCTGATGCGGCTCTCGCGCGACGACGTGGTGCAGCTGTGCGGCCTGGCCGACGGTGTGCGGCTCTACAACAGCCTGCACAACAAGCTGATCGTGCCGCGGCTGACGGTGTACGTGTGCGTGCCGCCGGCGCCGCTCTACCACGCCTTCTACCTGTACCAGACCACCCACTCGGAGATCAGCCGCAAGCTGGCTGCCCTGCTGGGCTGCAGCTCGTCCCAGCTGCGCCAGGTGTGCGTCGAGGGGCCGGGCGGCGTGCCCGTGCTGATGACAGACGAGGTGAGTGGTGAGCCGCACAGCGCCGCCGGCCGCCCGCCAGCACTGAGCCAGCACTGACGGGCAGGGGAGCACCCGGACGGGCAACACTGACGGGCAGGGGAGCGGCCGGACGGCCAGCACTGACTGGGGCAGGGGAGCGGCCGGACGGGCGACACTGACTGGGACGGGGGAGCGGCTGGACGGGCGACACTGAGTGGGACGGGGGAGCGGCTGGACGGCTAGCTCACTGACTGGGACGGGGGAGCGGCTGGACGGGCGACACTGACTGGGGTGGGGAGCGGCTGGACGGGCGACACTGACTGGGGCGGGGAGCGGCCGGACGGCCAGGGCCCAGGGGGCCGGCGTGATGAGTGCGGTGTGGGAGATCCGCCATTTATTCTTAGGAGTTTGGTAATGTGAGGAATAACAAGTAAGGTTTAAAAGAATATTTATATGCATTGTACATTTCAGTACTTTATTGTGTCATCAATTATTTTGCCTTGTGTTACAATGACCTGACTCATAATTTGAAGACTTGCATACAATTTGTTCGAAATGCCAGTTCTGCAGCTTTCCTGGACACATTTACCATGCTCTTTTATATGTCTGTTTGCTACCTGCAGATATCGACACGATTTGCCGATGGGAGGATTTTGCATTCAATCTGGATGTTTCACGCATTTTACTTTTCACAGGTGGTGAGGCATCTTCAGAACGAATCTCTGTATATGATTGAAACTATACCCGGTGAGTGTCACAAAGTAGACGGATCGTATGCGGTGTATATTTCAGTGGTCAGTGGTGCGCTGCTGTAGTCTGTGCTAAAGGAGATTGGTTAGAAAGTCACTGATTAGTGATATCTTTAACGGAGACTTGTAGGCATAAACCGTCCCATGTTTAGTTTGTCATGGTGGTTCATCTCTTCGTTGATCATGGATAAAAAGCTCATTGCAGGTTTAATCCAGAGTGGATCAATGTTTTCTGGTAACCCAGTTATCATCTTTTTCCTCGGTGTCGGCTCTGTGCTTCCTGAACGTGCACGTTTATGTCAGTCGTGCAGTACTCTTCAGTCGGAGACCGCGTCTGCCGTGCCTCCCTCCCCCTCATCCTAATCTGACCGGAGGGCCGCCCCTGTGCCGTTGCAGTGTCTCAGGAGAGCAGCGACCGGCTGGACCTGGTGCTGCACCGAACTGTGACGCGCAGTCCGCCGCCCAGCACCGGCGGCGGCGGCGGCGGTGGACCCTCTGCCGCCAGCTCGCCTCTCAGCAGGCAATAACTGGCGCACGGCGGGCTGGCCCCCGCACACAAACACAAACACGTACACACACTCACACATTGCTGCTGGCGGAGCGTCCCGGCGTCCCGGCGCGGCGCGTCTCACCGTCTGTCTGTCCGCGCTGCGCGGCACACCGGATAGTGAAGACCAGGGAGGTGGGGCCGCACTGTGGCCGCCTACTGGAGGAGCAGACACCTATTTTGAACCGTGACACGGGTCGGAAGCAGGTACCGGAATGAGCGAGAGGCGACTCACAGTACCCTGACGTCAGATGAACCGGTTAAAGGGAACTAGTCACTCAAAAGGAAGGAATCTTAGTTGAGCGAACATCGTTGCATTTACTTTGGTGAATCCCCATTTTGAAAGAAATGTATTTTCTTTTCTATCTGAAACACATTTTTGAGTTAGAGTAGCGAAGCAGCGCGGGTCCAACTATTGGTATATCAGAGCTACTAGCGACGAGTTTCACTAGAGCGTTGGGCTTTGCTTGCCTTACGTACGCCTCTGGAGCGCCGCAGGCCAGAGCTGACCCCGGCTGGTCTCATTCCGTGCCGTATTAATCTAGTGTCGACAGTGGATTGACCGATTGCGAGCTGTGTCCTCGACTGTGACTGGATAAAAACATCATCATTGATAGCATTGTGCATGTCGCAGTTATGAAAATACATTGTCGATTAATGTAGCTTCAGAGTTCAGACGCGGTCATTTGGCGGCATCAGTTCATTATACAGAATTTCATGTAGTTTGCATCATGGACGTGATCCTGAGATAGTGACTAGTTTCCTTTAACTCTGGGGGCTGGCGTCGTTGCTTGGCTGCAGAGCTACTGATGTATGAATACAGTCTTGGGTGGCTAGCTTCTGATATCGGCTAGCACCGGTCTGGAGGCGGCTAGCACCGGTGTTCAGACAGCTGGTGTCAGCCTGAGGGCGGTCAGCGGTGGTCTGAGAACGGCTGGTGTCAGCCTGAGGGCGGTCAGCGGTGGTCTGAGAACGGCTGGCGTCATCCCGAGGGCGGCTGGCGTCAGCCTGAGACAGCAGCTGGCGTCATCCCGAGGGCGGCTGACGCCATCCTGGGACAGCAGCTGGCGTCAGCCCGAGGGCGGCTGGTGTCAGCCCGAGGGCGGCTGGTGTCATCCCGAGGGCGGTCGGCGGTGGCGGGTCTGTCCCGGGGCAGAGGCGACCGGCGCAGTCCCGGGGCAGAGGCGACCGGCGCAGTCCCGGGCGCGCGCACCAGGCAGCGGTGTGCCGTGGGACGCGGCGGCAGGGGAGGCGGCTCGCTCGCACCGGGGGGACGGGGAGATCGGGGTGCCGTGGAGCACCCCTGGCTGTGTGGTTGCGAGGCTGTTGGGTGTGCGCGGGCGGTCCAGTCTGCCGGGTGCGGAGTGGACCGGCCGTGAGAGCGACCGGCGGCGCCGGAGCCGGCCCGCCAGCTCACCGGCCGGCCGGCCGGCTCCGGCGCGCCTACACAGGGCCATACCGGTCGTCTGAGTATCCCAGGTGACTTCAGTGTGTGTGTGAAATCATATACGTACGATGTTTGATGGTGCAGTGTTTGTGTGTGCGAGTGTGGAACAGCGGTTCATCCGTTTCATCGGTTCGGCTCACCAACACCGTGTTAGTCGAAAATGTCAAAACTTGCAGTACAAACAGAGTTTGCGGAAAAAAACGCAACTGCCTACAAAAAGATACGTTCTTCAAATATTTCGCAATTTGATGCTATTTTAGCAGCCTGAGCCATCGCTTAGTTTTAGGTGTGCTGATGCTTTGTCATGTTTGATGTCAGTAAACGTTCAAAACGATTGTTGGTATATGTTGCCCTTGTCAGGTAGTTTGTAACCGTTGGGGTTTTCGGCATGCTAGTATACATAATTTTGATTTGAGTATTGTTATACTCGGTATTTAGCAGTTAAGATATGGCTCCATCGAGGCTTACTTCACGTCAAAATTGTGAGGATCGGTTATTTCATCCTTGCAATTTTATATCGTGAAGTTGGCTTCGGCTTTCCTGTATCGTCGCGAATGTTGCGCTTCATGTCGTGTGCCATATGTTCTGTGCAGAGATTACTTATTGGCGTTTTCGTGTTTCGGATCTCGCGAGCCGGACTCACTCGAAACAGATTCATGACGCCGCTTTGACCAACTCGCGGACCCAATCTACAAAGCGATTGAAGACTTGTCAGAATCATGGCGCCCACTAAGCCCCTCGGGGAATACAGATTGAGTGTTTCATACTTGTTTACGTGACGTCAGACGTGTACGGGGCAACCTTGTGCCGCGCGTCCGGCCGCCAGTTCCCGATATCCTCCGTTAGCAAATCCGTGCAATGGCCCCGGGCGCCGCCACCGGTCGGCCCCGGCCTCCGGCCAACCAACCAGCCGTCCAACCGGCACCGTGTGTGCTCGCACTCGCTCCCACACACCTGACCAGTGCGTCGCTGGACGCCTGACTGCGCGCCGCTCAGCGCTGGAAATACTTGGCGAAAATGTCTGCTATCATTTGTTGTGTCGCATGAGAAGATATTTTAATATATCTGCGCTGTCAAGTGTCGAGTGTCAGTGAGGCGAGGCTTGTATTTAAATACCTACTTTATCGTAGTGTCGAATATGGGGACACAAGCACAGATAGGCATGACTGGCATGAATCGCGGCGCACAGGAAGTCCGTTTGTCTCTACATAGTTACTAGAGCGGTTCGCGGCCAGTCGGTCACCGTCTGGGCGTGACTGTTTTCATTTTCCAGTTCTTAGGCCCTGATGCGCGTAACTAACGAACCCCGCGTTACCGTTCCTTCGATGTGAGCCAAACCAACCAGAGCTGGAATCTGGATACTGCTGGAGCTCATGCATAATTTAGGCCCTCTATGCATAATGTAGGTATGTATAAAATGCCTCCATTGAAGGTCTCATCGGGTTCGAAACCACCATGTGATGGCTCCCCAAGCGACAACGGCTGGGCGCAACTTTCTCTATTCCACGCATCGAATTTCCCATTGTCTACGCCTAGGATAAGCTAATCTGTCCTCGAGGCTTGTGGGACGATATGCGTTCGATTCAGCAAACTGTAAAAGATGAGGGTTCATGTAGCTGAACTCAAGATTACTTTGCTGAACTAAGTGGTAACGTTACCTTTGGTGATTTGGCGTGAAATGGAGAAGAAAGTACAAAATGTGTGGATGATAGACAAGCGGGAGCTGCTTTCACAAATGTACATTGGTGTACATTGACTGAAATATATAGTCGCAGACACCTGACAAGTGACAACCAACGAACGAGGGCGGCCTGTCCTTGCTACTCTATGACGTCAGTTGATGAAACCCATGACATGCAGCACTTTAGTGCCGAGATGTACCGATGCGGCATTCTTGAAACAAAAGCGCTAGGAATGTCTAACACAAGTATAACATGTGCGCTGTTGGCTGCTGGGAGGTAAGAGAATTTAATTATTATTAGCAAGGCTATTTACAAGGCCCTATATGCCTATACCAATGCCTATATTTATATGGCTATTTATAAAATTATTGGTTTCTTTGACAAATAGCTCTTAAATAGATCTACAATCCTAATTGTTTCGGTAAGTAGGTACTTGAGATTTGAGAAGAACGTGTAAGTTAGATTGTCTGATAATGTGTTAGTTGTGTGTTACCTTCCTGTTTGGGTATGTGATATTTCAAATCGTGCAACTGTAATTGTCAGCTGTTATTGCAAGCGAGACAAGTTTCAATACCTTTATGTTGGAAAAATTGTGCGTGTGGGTGGCCTGCCTGGCTTGCGTGTTTCATTTTGGCAACAAAGGAGAGGTGCTACACAGGGATGCCAATGCTTGTTTTATAAATAAATCAAACCAAATCCAATGGAACCTAACTTAACTTGACCTAACACCTAACTTGACCACCTAACCTAACCTACAACATGCAACCTACACCTATGAATTACGATAGGCATACAATGGGCCAAAACATTAAATGGGTGGCCTGTTGCAAAACCTTGACCGGTGAATCACGATGTATGCATCCTAAACAACCACTACGCCACCGAGCCAGCTGATGGGTTCGAGGTGTAAGCTAGTTTCCAATGATGCAATGGATTATTCTCTGGGTAGCACCTCCCCTTTGTTGCAAAAATGAAATACCCACCTTGGCGTGTAGAAAAAGAGTAACATTTTGTTGGTGCTTATGTATATCTCAGCAAATGGTTGAATTGCAGCCTTTATCGTGTTGGTGAATTGATATTGTACCATGCTGTCCAGGCTCCAGCCTAAGTTATCAATTGATTAGTAGCTTAGCATGGGCTGCTTTACAAAAGTCAGTTGATAAAGAACAATAACTTGTACTAAATCTCTATGAAATGAAGTGCCCATATTCAACATTTAGCAGCATTTTTCTTTCAGACGCTACTGCAAAATGCAGTAGGTGGTGTGTTATGGCCTCCGAGGATTCCAACTGCTCTCAGAAGAGCTCAGGAGACCTGCTGAACATTGGAAAGCAGCCTGCAGGTGTTGAGTCCTTGCTACTCTTGAAGAAGCAGAGAGCTCAACATCAGTCTGTTGAGCCCGAGCAGCGTGCTACCTTCCGAGTGCCGGCCAGCTCTGTGCTGGACCGCGTCCGCTCCTTCCTGCCGCGCATGCGCGAGGCGGAGGCGACGCTGCAGGAGCGTGTGGCCAGCGAGGGTGCCGACGCCGTGTGTATCGAGGCGGACGACTCGGAGCGGCCGCACATCGAGCTGAACCTGGGCCTGTGCGAACTGGAGTCGGGCTCGGACTCGGACTCTGACTCGGAGTCGTACTCGGACGGATCAGAGTCGGACGCGGAGCGCGCGGCGGCGCCCGTGGGTCCGGTGACGGCGGCCAACCTGCGCCTGCCGGGCGGCGGCGGCGGCGGCGGCGGCTCCCGGCGGCTGGTCACCGAGGTGGGCCAGTCGCGGCCGGCGCCCGCCAGCCATGAGCGACACGGACAGTGACGCGGCCGGCTCGGAGCCCGACCTGGAGACGCTGAGCCGGCGCGCCGCCGAGGCCCGCCTGCTGCGGGACGCCGAGGCCGGCCCGGCCCGACTGCGTGCCGGCTCCTCTGGCAGCGAGGACGGGGACGCCACGGACAGCGGGCCGCCAGGTGAGCCCTCTGACATAACCAACAACTATTCTATTTGATATTTTAAATGTCGTTTCCGATCAAGCGTTTAAAGAACCAGTACATATTATAGGTACATATTATGTTATGTCGTTTTAGCCATCGGAGATGTAACACAAGATATACTTGCCCGTTTGTTGAATGAAGAGTTCATACTCTATCAATATGTTATCAAGATACGTGTAATAAGGCAATCCTTGACGGCACAGTATCTCGTCACATCAGAAGCGTTCGCTATACGCTTTGCTAACCTGGACGCGTTTTCAGACTCTCCCGAGGAGGAGATTCTGTGGGCGGCCGAGCGCGGCCTTTGCGAGCGGGTGTCCCAGCTGTTAAAAGAGGATCCGAGTCTGATAGGTGCCAGAGACGGCGACGGCTACACTCCGCTCCACCGCGCCGCCTACAACGACCACGTAGCAGTAGTGGAGGTAAGGATTCATAACTGTGGTGGGAGGGATTTGAATGAGTTTTATCTGGGAAATATTTTTCTCGTTGTCTCAGTTATCCCCTGGTTATTCCATTAGCCTCGGGAAAGGAGAGCCGTGTGCGGCACAGACGGTCCGTCATCTCCCGTTCCGACCGGCACTGACTGCGTCACCCCTCCCCCGTCCAGCGCCTGCTGTCGGCCGGCGCGGACCTGTCGGCGCGCACGGCCGAGGGCTGGACGCCGCTGCACTCGGCCGCCCGCTGGAACTCGGCCGGCTGCCTGCCGCTGCTGGTACTGCACGGCGCCGACGTGAACGCGCCGACGGCCGGCGGCCTGACGCCGCTCATGGTGGCCGCCTCGAGCGGCGAGGCGCGCGACACCTGCTACCTGCTGCTCACCACCGACGGCGTCCGACTGGAGGCGCGCAACGACAGCGGCGACACGGCCGCCGACATCGGCCGGCGCACGGCCGCCATCCAGCCGCTGTTCGAGCTGACAGAGCCGTACATGACGGACATCTGAGCGCTGTTCAGGCAGACCGAGCCGTATATGACGGAACTCCGACGGTTATTCGAGTTATCAGAGCTGTACATTACAGTCTCTGAGGCTGTTCGTGATGAGAGTCGTGTACGTTGTGGACCTTTGAACCAGGCTGGTTCATGACGGAGCGGTGAACAGAAGACGGGAGGTGAAAACATTCCTCTAGGCGCGAGCCAGCTGGTGTACCGTGTTGATCCCGAGTGGGGTATATTGGCCAGGTATACCCGAGTGGGGTCCGTACTCCCGAGTTCGGTCATGCGGGACGCTCGCCATGATTTGCGGCCGAGAGCTACGGATGATCGGTGCCAAGTGTTTTTGTACCGTGTCTGGTTCTATGATCTTTGTGTGTTGTGGATATAAGGTAATACATTCTCGAACCTGTCATAGGACTGAAAGGATATATGGACCATAAGCACCTGTCGCCTCATGCTTCAATAATTTTTCGTAATCTGCCAACTAACTATGCGTTGTATGTCATTGTGCTCACAAAGCAAACCGTACAAATCGTGTAAAGAGGCCAGCCGCAGAGACTCCTACCAGAATTAAATGATAGCAAAAAATCTATTGACTAATCAAGCCAGTAACATCACATGAAGTCAGTGGGTGTTCGCGTATGTATGGGCATTTCGGCGTCGAGCAAAACCACGAGAGGTTCTTATGTGTATGTATTGCTCTCTCGACGCAACTCGTATCACACCCATGATCGGTGGCAGGGTCGGACTGAGCAAGTCAATCTAGATACGCACTGCTGCTTCTGCCACCGATTTAAGGCATAAACCCTGCGTCAAGAGAAGAGAATTGTGCACTGAGTAATCATTGAGAGCCTATCACACGTCGATGCACGGACGCGAGCCACAACCGCGACCCTGCCGGCGTCGCGACAAGAGCACGACGCCGAACAGAGCGAAACATCACCGATTTGATGCTAGAAAGTCGCCACGCGCAGAATTAGCCCAACAGCGCACACTCCTGCCACAGCTGCGATTCTGGCCAAAAAAAAAAAAAAAACTACCTACGACCCCCAGCCCCACTCAATCAGGACAACCGACGCCTGTTCTGCACCACGCAAAGCTCGAGACGCATCCATTGGAGCTGCATTTATAGCTCCTCCACCACTGATCACCAGTGGGCATAATGATAGCACGCAGACGCACGTCGCAAGCTCTCACATATGCTCACTGTCAAATTACTTCTAACGAACAACCCAACCATTGCACGTATCCAGTTGGCAGTCAAATCGATCACACATCAGTCTTCGTGACTTCCGAACGGCACTCACTGCGTACCAGTCTGGTATGCTCATTAGCACACACCACTGACCACACAATCATTCGAACAGGTACAACTAACGAATTCAAGAGGTCTGAAATTCACGCGTCCGCCCTCAGTGCTAATAGCATAGTAGATGCTAGCATTCATTGAGACGCGCTGACGCTACCGACCATGAACACGAGTTCATCGCTGAACAGGTAGGATGTAAAAGTGCATATAAAATGGACCAGGTCATTGAGCAAAATGAAACAAAATAAATCCTAAATCCTAGCGTAAAGTGAAGTCAGTTTGGACGTTGAAATGTGTGTTGAGACTAGGTTCTCGCGTGAGGAAATATATCTACACATGCATTCACACACAAACATTTATGGCTGTCGGGAGTCGGGGTTCTAACCCCAATAAATCAAAATTTAATTCGAATACAAAATACCACTCGAGCTAAAAATGAGGGCTACAGCTATTAAATAACCGCCCACTAGTCCCCCTAAGCGCCGCCGGGGACCTGGATGTCGCGTCTCAGCGGCGCTGTGGGTTATGCACGTCGTCTATCACAGACCGCACACCGGGGCGGGCCCAGTCTCGACTATGGCTGGTGCCGGCGGGGCCCCCGAACGGGACTGCTTCCCACCGAGGGACAGCGTCCGGCGGGGACTGACCGGCGCCTGGCCGAGCGCTGGCTGCCTACCGCCTACCGCCGCTGCCCGGCTCACGAGCCAAACTGGTCCGTGCCCTCGGTGATGGGCTTGAAGACGAACTCGCCGCGTCCGTCCATCTGCAGGTAGTACTGAGGGGGGGGGGGGGCGGCTCCGGTCAGCGGACACGGGACGGCTCAGGTCAGCGGACAGCGCGGAGATCTGGGGGTACCTAGTACTGTGGACAGGGGACGGGGCGGTTCTGGTCAGCGGACAGTGGGACGGAGACGGGGGGCGGCTCGGTCAGCGAACAGCGGGGAATTCTGAAGGTAGCTGTACTGCAGTGGAGTGTGGACACGAAACGGTCACGGTCAACGGCGCAGCCGGCAGCGAGGGAGGTCGCAGCCACCGTTATTGCATCGGGTGAAACCAGCTGCAGTGGCTCAAATTAACCACTCATATAAATTTAATGAACGGATGCAAATCAAATGGCCATCTACAATTCTCGCCATTTAATAGAAAATGTCATATCGCAAAGAGTGACCGAACCGGACCGTCCGTCCGTCCAGACTAACCTCATGGTGGACCCAGAGCGACTTGCGGTGGGACACGGTGAAGAGCGTGATGCCCATCTTGCGGCAGTAGCTGTACATGGAGCCCTCGACGTCCACGCTGACCGCCGACGTGCACTCGTCCAGAATGGCGAACTGGGGCCGGTGGTAGAACAGGCGCGCCATCTGCCAGCGGGGGCACGAGGCCGAGTGTCACAGAGCACATCGACAACGACGGCGGCACAAAACGAGACACAACACATCGCCACTAAAAGCGGCACCAAACCAAACACAGCGCACTGATCCCACCGACGGCGGCACAAAACCAAACGGTTTTTTTTGCATGCCGCATGGAATACAGAAAAACAACAGATAATCGTCATACATATATCCGCCGAGATAAAGTTGTTCGTGTGCTGATTATCCACTATCCAACGAGTTACAAAGACTGTAACACTCCAGCTATCGATAGCCTCGTCGCTGTTCCGTGTGGTACATGATGTTGTCATGTGCCACACAGCGCCATGTGGCTGTCATGTGGCATATGACAGCCTCGTCGCTGACAGTCACACTGACGCAGGACGCTGCCCACGACCCCGCCCGACTCACGGCCACGCGCTGCTTCTCGCCGCCGCTGAGCACGTCGCCCCAGTCGGCCACGGCGTCCCAGCCATTCTCACGCTCGTGGATGTAGCCGAGCTGGACCTCTTCGAGCAGCTGCAGCAGCCACTCGTCGGTGCGGCCGCGCCGCCGCATCGCCGCCACCGTGTCCGGGTAGATCACCTGGTCAGCGACAGAGGAGGGTGTCAGGTCAAGGGCGGGTCACGGACGGGTCACGAACAGGTCACGGGTAGACATCAGCTCAAATGCTCATGGGCCGGTCACGGTTGGAAGTCAGGTCATGGAAAGGTCACGGATAGACGTTCACGGATGGGTAACGGATGAACGTCAGCTCACAGGTAGGTCATGGACAATGTCTAAATCCCGACCAATAACACCAATAATGGGATGTCACAGACGAACGTCATGCCACTGGATATGGCTCATGGCTGGACATTAAACCAGAGGCCGGAATGCCAGCATCCATGCATGTTCGGTGAAAGAGCAGTCAGAAGACGTTACGTAAGAAAACGGCCGCATATTCCGTGAAACATAAGGCGATTTAGTATCGCGTGCTACGTTACGCTGACGGCGCACCTGCCGAACAAGAGCCATACATTGATTGCACAATGTAAACAGAGTTAGTTACCGCTGACAACCAGGCCGCACCTAATGGCCCTCTTATTTCAAAGCCAACAGACAGTAAGCCATGCAGCGGTTATGTCATGCCTTCTTCAGTAGCCTGTGTAGTGTGTGACAACGTATGTACTATTTGCTCACGCGACCCCCCTATCGCAGCACGCCAAGACAGCCATGATAGCCCAACCTAATACTAGCAGCAGTGCAACCGCCACGTCAAACCCCGTCGGCCTTTATCTTTCCATCGCCGGCACGTTTCACACTACCGGCGGACAGTCAGTACGTGCCGGCGGGCTGGGGACCGACCGTCCGTCGGCGGCAGACTGACCTGGTCACGCAGCGTGCCCAGCGTCATGTACGGCCGCTGAGGGATGTAGAACAGCTGAGACCGGTCCGGCTTGGTGAGCGTGCCGCCGAACACGGGCCACAGCTGCCGACACGGGCACAGAGAACGGTCAGAGACGGTACCTACCGGGACGGTTCCGCGGACCGCACGTGGTGGAATCAGGTCATATGGGGACACGCACAGGCATGAAACAACGCATATCAAACACTGAGTGCCTGTTTCAGACACGCACAATATCAAACACTCTCTGTTTGAGGAACACGAGAGTCGATGCTATCAAGATAACTGCAAAATTAAATCACCAGCTAATAAATTAACTGTAACTGCGGTTGTACACATTAGAGTCCAGTACAAGCGTCAGAGGCACTTCCCGACCACTCACTATCACCACAGCGACCCGGCGGGCCGCGTGGCGCGTCCGTCGCCGGTCACTGCTGTCTCACCTCTCCAAGGATGCGGAACAGCGAGCTCTTGCCACAGCCGTTCGGCCCGCAGACGAGCACATTCATGCCGGAGCGCACCTCGAAGTTGAGCTCCTGCACGAGCACGTCTCCGTTGGGCGTCACCAGAGGCACGTGCTCGAACCTGGCGCGTGAGGGATCAACAGGTAAGTGAGACGCGGGGAATAACTGGTCATCTACGAGTACGTTCGATAAACCGAGCCATATGAAAGGCGATTAGGACTGGGTGGGTAAACGTAAAAAAGTAATAAAAAACGTAACGTAAAAATACAACGCTCATGAGCGTGACATCCGCCTGTTTGTTTGGTGGAGAAATATGTAAGTAACGGCCAACAGATTAGCGCATCCCACTAGGGAATGGTGACATTTGACCAAAATCAATGTGACCAGAAAGGCCTTCATTTCTAACATTAATTGTGAAAAACTCAGGAGGGCCAATGGGGAAGGACTGCAGACACCCACCTGATGATGTGATCCTGCAGCACCACCTTGCCGGCCTTGGGGTCCAGCGCCATGACGGGTCGGGCCAAACTGCTGGACGAAGATGACGACTTCAGACCTGGCAAACAGCGAAAGAGATGGGTGTTCATTCACGCCGACACTACAGCTGCCGACTCTAGCACGCAGCGCGATACAATCACGTTACCATATCCTAATGCCAAGAAACTTGTGAAACGCGGTGACCGGAGACGGACGCAATAAAGGAGCGTGCAAGTCTGAGGACTGTTGGCGTCGGAGACAACAACACAACAAGAGTATTCGATAAGACTGTGCTTATAACTTGAAGTGATGGCACGTCATCGCCGGTAGCTGCTTTTGTAACAAATGTCGTACCTAGTGAAAGCCGCAGTAAAGAGTGCCCGTTAGGCATCTAGCTCGCTCAGAGAACCAAGACTTTCGTCGGGCGCTCACCGTTGCTCTGCGGCGTGAGCATGGTCCTCTCGTAGTGTCCGTTGTTGAGGTCGTTCAGTACCTCGAGCAGCTTTGAGATGCGCACGGTGAAGCCGGAGAGGCGCGTCATCTCCCTGCCGGCCAGCACCAGGCGGCCGATGCTCTCCGCCAGCCGCACCATCATGCGGCCGTTCTCGTAGTAGCGCTGCTGGCGCTGACCGGGCGGCAGGCCCGCCATCGGCCCGGCCGCCGCCAGGAACGGAATGCTCACCGTGAAACAGCCCACCAGCGTGGCCAGGTACTTGGCGATGATGTTGTCCACGAAGCCCACCGAAAACTTGAAGTGCAGCAGCGTCTTCATGTGGTCGATGAGCTTGCGGAACTCGCTGTTGAGTGTGATCTTCTCGCGCTCGCTGCCCTGGTAGAAGGCCACCTCCTCGCAGTTGGTGATGAGCCGCGAGTTGACAAACCGGTACTCGGCCTCCAGCTTCTGCTCCTTGACCGTCATCGAGCCGACGGGGCGGCGCAGGTTGGTCAGGAACAGGCCCGACACGAGCAGGTAGGCGATCATGTAGCCGGGCACCTGGCGGCCCAGGCCGGCCGACAGCCGCTGCACGTACAGCACGATGTCCAGCAGCGGCTTGGACAGGTTCGAGTAGAGGTCCACCAGGCCCGTGCAGAACTGGTTCACGTCGTTGGTCAGCAGGTGGTCGGCGTTCTGGATCCGGTTGTCCAGATTGTTCATCTGGTAGAACGTGTAGCCCCTGGGACAGAACGGGAGAGGTTTAGCAAACGGATACAAGTACTGTCAATCGCATCCTGAGGTCTGCAGCCATTCCCCAAATACACCCGTTCCGCACGACAGCCATATACCACAAAACTAGCATTATTTACCAGCTTGACTAAGACTGAATCATTTTCCTCTTTAACGTATGACTTAAAAAGACGTCAGCGCATTAGTTTGCGCAGATCCTTCTGACCAGCGAGTATCTCCTTTCACTTACTTCATGTACTGGTCGTAGAGGTGGCGCGTCAGCCTCACGCGCAGGTCCAGCTGCAGCTGGTTCAGGCTGTACTTGAGCAGGTTGTTGATGAGCGACACCACGGGCATCATGCGGGTGTAGTCCCAGGCGTGCGAGAGGAACGCCGACCGACTGCCGCCGATCAGAGAGCTGCCCGGGCGCGGGGGGGGGTCAGAACGGCACAGGAACATCGGCAGTGGGATGGACGATGCGCACGAAGTAAAACACACGTCCGTTCCAGAGCTGATCCAAGCAGTGTTCAAAAACAAAACGATGGTCGGTGCACGTCTGCCAGGCATAATATAAAAGAAATACGAAGACATTAAATGCCCTTCAGCGATTAATACTTCTGGTTACTTTGCAGTCCTCTCAACTCACACAGAAGTCATCCATGTATCCGACATCCACATCCAAAGCGCTTACCTATATCTAGCACAGGACAGTCTAGTGCCATCTGAACAGTTCCCGACAGCATCACCCTCCCTCTCCCATCGACCGGCCCGCTCACAACACACCGTCCCCACCTCCGTCCCCAGCTCTCACCCCTAGCCGGGCCCAGGCGGCCGGCTTGCTCACGTTTCGATCATGGTGTGGTTTTTGATGAGCCACACGTCGCAGGCGGTGCGGGCCACCAGCACGAGCGCCACCAGCACGATGTAGGCAACCGGCGAGCTGAGTGGACCCGGGATCAGGATACCCAGCAGGCGGCGCAGACGGCGGAAAAACACCGCGTCCACCGCCGCCCGCTCCTTCTTAGACGACGCCTGCAGCGGACAGCGTTAGATGGTCAGCCAGGGCGAATCAATGGAGCGACACGGACTAGAACTTAACCCTCGCCGGCCGAGGGGGGCGGGGGGCGGGTGCCGCCCCCCCCCCCCCATAGGGTTTTTTTCGCGATAGCTCCGAACACGCTGGCGATAGAGAGCTGAAACTTGGCATACCTGACCTTTGATTCAAGCCGGATCTTTTGACACCAACCGCATTTTTGGGTCAGGTCAGGTCACTGACCTATGACGTCATAAGTGAACCTCTGCACGGTCTTCAGATGTCGCAACTTCGCAACGCCCTCACTACCAGAGGAGATGTCACAGGGAAATGAAACTTGCAGGATCTAGTATCCATTATGAGTCTCACAACTTGTATATCTCGGATTTTTCCTAAAGGTGATATGAGGTCAGGTCACTTTCGTGACCTCACCATTACAAGTCAATGGGGAAAAATGAAAACTGTTATTCTGGCGCCGGGAACGATCTCCAACTATCTCAAGCACACAGAATCGTGATTTGATGCACTCCTTGCAAGGTTAGATGCGTCACTTTTGCGATGTTGACCTTGCGTGACGTCATTTATGACGTCATCAAGGTCATATTAGTTTTTCGTCAATAACTCTTGATCAAATTGAGCTAGCGAGTCGGAAAAGCCACCAATGGACTCAGGAAGACCTGCCGAATCGAATGATATGCGACATGACCTCTTTCGACCAACTTCGTGACCTGGGGGTGCTGACCTGACCTTGACCTGAGGTCAACACCCCAAGTTGACCTGACCCGAACAAAAAGTATATCATTCGACGCGCCTGAGCAAGGCGAATACGATGCTGCCAAAATCGCGGCTCGGCGGCCGTTTTTTGCGAAGTTATTCACCAAAAACTGAACCGTACATTGGGGCACTTGACCTGACCTCAGAGGTCACCGGTTGACCTAAGACCTTAAAATCGGGTACCAATCTCTGCGTCTCGTAACGGCGCACACGCTCGTTTTTCCGCGACGCGCTAGCTCCACCAGGGGTGAAACGGCGAGGGGGGTCGTATCCGCCCCCCCCCCCCCTCGGCCGGCGCGTATGTAGAAAACCAATAGGTCCTGCGAGGGTTAGAGTGTCAGCCAGGGCGAATCGATAACGAGCACATACGAGTATATGTTGATTTGTAACAATTTTAGTTAATCGTCCAAAATGATCATAAGAGACAGGAGCGCCCATGACAACAACGGAGGGTCATGGATGGTCTGGTGGAGGGAGGAAATTGTTTTTGGTGGCATCTGACGGCGATTGCCTTCACTGAACTTCAGTGAATACTGGTGAGGACTAAGCGGCAAGCGCCGAGACGGTTCGAAATGGTCTGACACCAGTTAGCTCAGAGAGCTCACTCTCTCCTAGGTGCGCTCGGGCTGTGAATGCGAACCTTATCACCATTTATGTGCATGCTTGCCTGTCTGATGTGCGTCTTCTCAAAACATATTCGTAAAAGTTATCAACAATTCTATTTACTCGTTCTCACAATTACCCGACAGCGTGTCGATTACTGCATCATTGCTGTGATAGTATGCAACGTGTCACTTTTTTAATGGCTGGCACGTTGCCCTCGATGTCATGCGGATGTTTGTGTTTAAACTGGGAGACGAACGAAAACATAACACTGGCATAATCGCGGCGGTGCTAGGTGGCAATATTACGCATGAAGTCGTGTGGCAGATTAAATGTTGAAACGGTAAGTACGAAAAATGTTTAAAATTATGTCAAGCCATCAAATCGATGCGATTGCACAAAGTTAGAGTCTACCGTTATGATCAAATGCCCAATGAGGTATCATTCATTCTAGTGTGCTCTGTTGGTGCTCGGTTGAAAAAAACGGGAGTACAGTCTGAGCACGTACTTTTTATGAAAATATGTCGTTTTATTGGAATAGCTAAATGATACCATGGATGAAATAATACGATACCAAGTTAAGCACTGGTCCGATTGAAACTTGCTCTTTTACTAGTACGGATTAGCCACGGTCGAAAGAGAGCAAAATGTTCAATGCTTGAACATAAAGCATTGCATTGTCATCTTCAGCCAATGCAATGTTTTCGGAAATACGGAAATTCCAATGCAATCGGAAATACTTAAAATTGGTGCTGAGCTAATGGGGAAGATTAAAGATTTAGATAGTTCGATCTTCTAATAGCAACATACATACATTCTGAAACCAGTATCCTGAAGCTGAAGGAATTGTCAATAGTTCACGATTTTGCAGGAGTTGTTTCTCACGCTACTGAATATGCAGGTATATACGGCATAAAAATACAAAAGCATGATTATGTAGTTTCAAAATATTCAGCGGCTCGGGGGCCGAAAACGGGGTAGGTGAGGCGGTGAGGCAATAAGATGCGGTTTGTGCCGATCGCCAGGCGGTCGTCCGTGACATTATCCGTGGCTCGGCTGTATAACACAGTCATATTTTGCGGGCTTTATATCGGTACAATGGTTTCGGTCGGTGTGAGATCTGCGCTCTAACAGCTCTGATATCTCAGGGTATGTTATGCAACAGATAATGTTACATAACGTCCAGTAAGGGCATCGCCACCAGATGGCGAAACTCGAAAAATTGGCGTCGTACCAGTTCTTACCTAACAGAGCTAAGTGGGAACAATGCTTCAGTGATACGGTGCTCTGCCAGGCTGCATGATTTTGCATTTCCTGAACCACCACTATTCACTTCTGGCAAAATGCCGCGACCCGATCGTTCTTTAACCTTTTCGGTTTTCATTTAGGTCATTATGTTGCATTGGGAAACCGGGGAAGGCCGATTTGTTGAGCCTCTGTCAGCACGCCCCGCAGCTGCGGAGATGGGCCTGGGAGCGCGCCTCCGCGGCCGAACCGGTCCGATTACGGGGCCCTCTCCGCGGCCGGGTCGCTCGCCCGGGATGGAGAGCTTTCCAAACAGAGATCGAAAGCTAGAGTAGATACACCAGGACAGAGTATCACATCGTAGGCTTCACTGGATTGTATTGAATGCAATTAAAAGAAGAACCTCTTCAAGAAAGGTAATTCGCTAAAAACCAGCTAAAACTTCCGCCACGAACGAATGGATCAACAGCTTGAAGCGGGTGAGTCGACGATGAGCCACGATACATTGCTTGACCGAATCTAAAATAAACCAAGCGTCTAGAAATGTGTTATACACACATAGCTTCCGTACCACCGCAGCCGCAGGCCCCAGCTGAGCCCACATCGTACACCGGCTGTGTGCTTACAATGAGGTGAGCGTCCGGCCGGGCGACAGGTGACCGCACAGTCACACCGGTCGCCGCGCCGGCGGACACCGTGGGTCGACCGACAAAAACCCGTCCCCAAGGCGCGGCCCGGCGTCATACCCGGTACGTCCGGTGTCCGGTGAAACCGACACAGGGGCTGGACGGAACGGCTAGGAAACGGAACCGATAACTCCATGGCCGCGCGTGAGCTCCGCCTCGTTCGAATACAAACTGTTTGGTTTTCTTCGGGCGCAGGCGAGATCCGCGGAATCAGGATGATATAGGTAAATCTTGTCTCCATCGGTGGACCACGTAAATTTTCAGCGCAGGGACATCACGTAAATCATCAACACACCACTCGTCAGTTCACAAAAGCAATTTTCTGGCTTCACCAAATGCATTTCCTTGAGGGGCGGATCATACTTTGGGAGGATCAATGGGCAGGCAGGTGAATCTGCGTTTGCTTTGATATATGCCTACACTGATCTCTCCAGTGAGCCAGTGGGCGATGTCTGTGTGTGTGCCTCTGGTCAGTCCACTCGCCGACACCCCGTCTGAATTAATCTCCCGAGTGGGCCAGTCAGCGTCAACGGCCGGCTATGAGCCGTCCAAGGCCGCCACTCGGGCCCGGCCTCCGTGCCGGCGGGGGGACTCATCAGCGGCGCAGGGTCGTCCGCTCTACCCCCGCCCGTCAGCGCAGCACACACGGACGGCAAAAAGCAGCATCACCACGGCCTCCTTACAGTTACCAGGAAGCTTATCACATGGACATCTTTTAGCCTGGCAATTTTATAGAATGACTAATGCAATGCAGCTTATGTTATAATCGATGAGGTGCAAGCGAAACGGAGCGCATTAGTCTCATGCAAAATAACCACCGAAAATTATTAAAAGTTAATACAAATCATACCATAAAAACGGAATACGGAAACCGGTTTTGCCACGTTAAAGCCCTGGAAGCTAAGTAAATCGTTGAAAAAAAAAAAAACTTTGGCGACCATAAAAACATTCAGCATTGCCGGGTATGGCAGTGAACATCGCAGTCACTACTGGATTTGAAATAGGATCACCACTAACAATACGACGATCTTCTTAGCTACTCGAGTGGCTAAGGAGTTTCTCCATCGGCTCGTATTACGACAAAACGTGTTACGACTTACGAACATGGCAAAAATCGTTTTCGGCCAGCCTAAAGTAAATGTTTCCAACAGACGCACAAGCATAAGCATTCCCTCTCGGGACCGCCGGAGTCGTAAAGTGCGCACCGCACCGCGCGGCCCTAGTGACACAGGCCGACCAGACGGCGAGCGAAGTTCAGGGTCACCCCGCGCCGAGCGACCGGCGAGCCCAGTACCTCGCGCAGCGCACGGCCGGCCCGGGGACCACAGTAAAGTGGCGTGGCCCAGACCACGCCGTGACGGGAATAACATGAAAAAAAACGCCAGTCAGCTAAGCCATATCGGCATTTTATACGACCACCCAGTCAGTCCCGGGCCCCGTTCGGTGGCAACAAGATTTGCGGATGAATAACGATACACCGACCAGTGAGTTCTGTGTAATTCATTTGAAGAGACCTTTGCACATAATTCTACATATAACACGAGCAAAATCACGTTCAGAGCCCGTCAGTTGTTGATCAATTTCTCAACGAGAGAGCGGCGACTACTCCCTATAAAAAATAAAGGCGATGTAAGAAAGAAATCTGCGCCTTTGGGTGCGTTATTGGGTTTGCAATTCCGTGCAGAATCTGC